AAAAAGAAAAAGGAAAAAAAAAAAAAAAAAAAAATCACCAGCCAGTGGTGTATTTTTAAAGAAGAAACAATAAAAACAGAGGTCTGATCCACTAAATAACCAAGATATCCCAGGCTGAAGTCCTGTTTACACTATTTTATCTGGTAGTTATTTCATTAGAAACCAAAGACAGTTGAATCAGAACAATGTGCTGAGTCTGCTGAGGACCTGTGCTTAACGTGTGTCTGAAGGAGAAGCTGAACAGTGAGCCAAAGTAGTTTCATGCGACTCAGGTCCCTGAAGATGTTGATGAGATCATGTCTGAGAGAGAGCGAGCTAGTTTCTAGATACGAAATACAAGCAATTAGAGAGAAAGAAAGAACTGAAATCTAAAGTGACCTTTTAAAAAATATGCCTAAATGAATTCGTCAACTCATCTTCTGTTGATGAGCTGGTGCAATTTCAATAATCAAACCCCATTCAGGTAATACTAAATGCCAGTAAAAGAAATGGACATGTCGTCATCAATCTATTGTACAGAAGAAAAAAAGAGGCTTTTCAATTGTACTGCTCTAGAACAGGAAGTCTGATTCTTTCACAGCAAGTTGCGTCTTGAGAAGGGAGGGCCAGATAACACTTATGTAGGAGGCACTGAAGCCCGTAGATTCACTTAAAATAGAAAGCATTTCATGTAATAGTGTGGTCCCACGACAGTGCCACTCCTCCGAAGCTATTGTTTTCAAGTCTCTCTGCCAACTGCTATTAAATAAAATTATAATGTACTTTTTATTAGCTGACTGCTGATACCAGTTTCCTGAACTTTTTTACATGTATCCTCATTAGTTCACGCCCATAAGCTTGTGTAATGCAGAACAATCTTGTCTGAGTGCCATTCTTTGTGCCTGTATTTAGATATCTGCATGTCATTCCATACAAGCGATTATCTCACTGTACTTATTTTATTCTCATTATCAGGTTTCTTCCTGTGTGCACCTGAAGTATGGACTTCAACACTGGTAGCATGAAATAAGAGTTTGGCTTCATCTTCAACTCTCCCTTGATATCTCACTCCATGGTTTCCATTTATGAAAGTCACCCCTTTCATTAAGAAGATGCACATTAGCACAGAGTAAAATCCAGGCACAGACCACATTTGTTGTTCAGTCATGTTTCTGCAGCACTGGGGGCTTCCACAGTGCCAAAAAAACTCCCCATTTTATAGTCAGCATAAATCCAGAGACGCAGGGGAAAGAGCATCTCTGCACTGAACTCATGTAAGGTTAGCTTTTTAAAAAGAAAAAAAAAGGGAAATCAAACCCTGTACATCCTGACATTTTGCTCGTTTCCAAGACGATATTTTCATTCCAAGAGCAAACTTTCAAGCCTTTGTCCACCAGTGCTGCCAAAGTAGCTACTTAAAAACACGAAGCATTTGCAAGATGCTCATTGCATAAAATCTTCTGTATTGAGACCTGCATGAAGGCAGGTACAATCTGAAGGACACAAATGCACTTTTTCCCCCTCCAATATCAAGATCCATGCATGATTTATTTCAGGTTATTGAAATCATCATGGGACTGATTGCCAATGTAAGGCACAAGAAAATTGTGCAAATGCATGAACGCATACCCTCCCAGCAATAAAAATAAAGAACAAAATACTGGCTAATGGAAACAAAGAACAAGATATCAGCTCAAAGAAAGACTCTTCCACAGCACTTCACTTTAAATTCTTTTTAACTTGAAAAAGAAAAAGACAAAAAAGAATATGCAAGACCAAAGCGCACGGGGACCGTCACTGATTCAAATTAAAACAAAGAAAACAATGAATAAATATCTAAATTTTCAAAATGCTATGAGTATATAAAAGGAAAAAAAGGGGAGACTACATCAAAAACCACTTCATACGCATCTTCAGATTCTTTTAGTAGTTTGCATCAAGTCCTCGTGTTAATTCAAATATGTGCTATATATATTCCTAGGTTAACAAATTTGCTTAGCAAAAGACACAATAATTGGTTTTTCCTGTCAGAAAGCATGCCAGAGATGAAAAAAGCAAATAGTGGGTAAAACTACGAAAGATCAGGAAACCAGTTTCACCCTGTTAAAGAATTCTTAAAAGCTCTTGGAGGAAGTCAGTAAGAGGAAGGTTTAAAGAGATATTAAGTTCAAGAGTTTTAGAAAGCTGAAGCAATACTCATACACAGTTCAGAAGACAGAAGATCCCAGTTCAACTTTGATGGTTTTCAGTACTGAATAACTTAATGGACTAAGACTCTGCGAAGGCAAACTTCATTCATTTTTCTTTCTAAATATAAACTAACTTATACCATAAGCTGGGAAGTTGTGTACCATCTCAATAACCCAGATAAGAAAGGCTTAACTCAAAGGCATCTGACGTAATACTATAAAGGAAGGTACACATTTTTCAATCCTGTAAAATGAGACCTTCAATGAGCTTCCTACATACCAACACATTTGGGTTAAAAGAGATGAACTGCAATTCATCTCCTGTATTTAAGTTGATATTAGCTTGCCATCCACATCTTCCTGTGTATTTTTATTTTTTATATATACATGTGTACACACACACACTGCATGTATGTATATGCAGTATTACACACACACACCACACATGCAACTTGTTATATATGAACCTTTTATTAAAGGCTGTCAATTTTTACAACTTTAGAGCTGGGACGATTCACAGGCTATGATTTACTTCTGATTGCCAAACTCAAAAGTTCATTAAAAGAAAAAAAATTTAAGATGCCGTTAAAAAGTCATTAGCTTTTTCAGGAAAAATTGTAAAATAATACTATCTATGGCAATGGCCCTTTTAACCTGCTCTATAAATGTAGTCAAAGAGACTTAACAGAGTCATTTTCCCTTTCTGTTATCTGTACAAAAAAAAAAAAAGACAGCCATTCATCTTCTCAAGGTTTTTCCCTGATGGAATTTACCATTCTAAAGATGGAGAAGTCCTTTTATAAATAAAGGATAAAATATTCACAAATACGTAAAGGATACTTTTAAAGGACAACATGTCAGTACTTTTAGAGTGTTACCTCCCAAACATCTTGATTTAAACACAGGAAGTTAAACTGGCAAATAGGGCATAGCAAAAACAGGGAAATGTATTCCACAATTTAAAAATGCACAATTAAAAGAGAATTGCCATTTCTGGATAGGGAGGATTCCTAGGGTACTGCAACTGGTTGTTCTTTTGGATAACTCATTTCTAACCCTATTAGCAAACTGGCATAACTAGGACAGACCAAAACCTTCCCCTTTATAGTTTTAACGTTGATGGGTTGGTGATGGGGTCCAAAACTTATTGGGTAGGGATCAATACACTTACCTATTGTCCCTGATTCGCAATAATCCCGAGTTCCTTCCTGGAATACAAGATAGTGTCTTTATAACTTGGGAGCAGAAAGGGATTTGGGAATGGAAGATCTATTTAACAGGGACATACTAATGTCCACTGAGCAATTTAAGAAATATGACCAAACTGCACTATTTTGGGTGTTGCAACTAAAATGTTTAAAAGCAAGAAGCACCCTAACGGAAACAGAATCTTGGCAAATAATACACCAGAGAAAGAAGTAAAGCTAAAGCCACTGCTGTCTTAGGAATCTCTCCCTTGCACCTAAAACATCACCACTGCCAGATGTTGCCAAGCACACCAAATTCCAAGAAAAAGCAACAATTTTGCATGTTTATCATTAAAGATATTGTGAAATCATGTCTTTCTAATAATAAGAACAATGGAAAGTATACAATCAGTTTACACTTTAAAGTTTTAATCAAGAAAGAAAATGATAGAGCAAGGAGGGCTTAAGAAACCAAGCCTAAAAGTATATTTAAGCTGTCCCCAATCCACTCTGACTACAGGCACAAGGCAATTCACCTTAACTGAAACGGAATCAAATTTCCCCTGAAGACTTCTCTTTTCTTATTGGAAACTCTGCTCTGGGAAATCAGAAAAAAACCCAAAAACAAACAACCCTCCCCTCAGTTAACCTCAGTTCTAAAAAGGTTCTCTCTCATCTACCTTCATTTTTTTTTTAAAGTTATCTAACAGCAATGCCTTTTCCTTAAAGAGACTGTGCACAACTGAGGAAAAAGTATTCCAGAAGACAAGAAACGTTTTTTTATTTATTACAGTATATATGTATATACACACACCACAAAAATCCAACTGAAATTAAAGCTTATGTAGAACAACTTGCCTTTGGTTTAATATGCCAGTAATCCTTTCAAACGAATTAGGACAACTATTTGTATTAGAATTCAAGAATATTTGTTTTTCTTTTCTTCACATCATTCTGCTTCCTTGACCAACCAAATATGATTGTACAAAATCTTTATTTTCATCATACCATTAAAAAAACCCAACATTTTTCAAAGCTACCTCCAACTTAAATCATATATTAACCAAAATGACCCTACCTTCTGTCGCAGTTACTAAAGGCAACGGAACAGGCTTAAGTAATGATCTCTGTGCAACTTATTTTACTTATTCCTCAAGTCATGTCAAATTTACTGCTAAACCCAGTTCTTCTTACACAGCAATGTGTGCCTTAATACCACATAACCTGAACAGGCCAACTTTCCTAGAAGCTTGATTATTTCTCCCCAGACTTATGCATGGATGGAATTCATGGATGGCTTATTGGATAATTTACCATAAACAAATCTGTAGTCTATTCATCTCCGGGGCCCGTTTAAAGTTTAACAGTTGCAGGTTATCCAATCATATATTTTATTCAGATGACTAATACTTTGCAAGTATTACAGATAAAGTCTTGGTACCAATGAGAACACTATGCAGTTGTTAAAAACTGCAGAAACAGGCTTCTTTGGTATCCTGTTCTTGAACTCTAAAGGTGGCTGATTCCTTCACCAACAAGAACTCTCTGCCTATCAAGACTGTTCTTTATAAGCATCTCTGAGTAGTAGTTCAGCTGGTACCTAGTCTCCTTCAGGTTTTGCTCATGTTAATTGTTGATCTACATTAGCAGCTGATAACACGGCATCCCACACTGAAAGATATGGCACCACAGAAATCCTTCCAATTGCTGTAATGAGGCATCATGCATTCAAATTTAAGCCAAGCTGATGGACAAGGAAGTAAATTAACTCCATCTATCAGCAACTTTTGAATGTTTCCAGCCACTTACTTAGTCAAAATATCCTGTATAGTTTTCTGAAATGCAATCCAGTAATTCACTAATACTTACTTGCTAACCTGAAAACCTAAATTCACCACAATTTTCAGAGAAGAACAGAGTGTTGTCATGAGGTCTCATGTTATTAAGACTTCGTTACTTTTAAGCAGCATATTGGATTTTGGTACTACAAAGTACCAAATCTAACAGCTAAACATACGAACAAATTAAATTTTGATGCAGTATGCTTGCTTAAAACTGTTTGTTGCTTCCTTGCTATTTAACACAATTCAGTAAGCCACAACACAGCTCCCAGTCAACACCACTGATCTCCTGCACATAGCATGAGACGGCAGAAGACGACCAGAAACCCTTCCTTCTGGAGAATGATATTTACAGACATATTTAAATAGACAGTTATCTAATGCTTAAATCTCATTAATTCAAATATTTGATGAGCCTAAGCCCGAGATCTGAATTTTAGTAATAAATACATAGTTTGAGTTGCCTGTAGATATCTTAATACATTCTCACTTTGAAGCTAAATCCATTTCAACATGGAAAAATTTAGAGCATGCCAGTTCACTGGAGTTGCAACATTTGGAGATTAGAAATAATCTCCTTTTCCTTTTGTACTGGCCATTCTTTTTGACAAAACTCATCATGATTTCTCAATTCCATAATTCATTTTCAGTCTAGCACAAAGGCCAAAATAATTAGGCCTTACATGCAAGTTCTATCTATCACTTGGTCTTTGGAGTTTCATTATTTATTCCAAAACATGAATGAATCAATACGAGACGTACCCAAAGCAATCTACTCTCCTTTTCAATCTAAGGACACTATCCATGTTCAAGATTAAGCTTCACTCTCGATACCAATAGTTTTATTTCTTTCAGCAACTATTTTGTTGTTGAAAGTGGACCAAATTATAAGCAATGACATCAAGAAGCTATTCCTGGGAATACAAGGAAAATAAAGTAAAATGAGGAAATTCGAACACAAGAGCAATGCAATGAGCTTATAGAAGTATTAATCAGGGTGGTCAACAATTGTTTACCTGTTTATGAGCATGGTCATAAGAGTTTATATGGTTGTCAAACTCTTGATGCTTTTGATACTGCTTGTCGCACAGTTCACAGTAAAAGTTTGCTCTGAGGTCTTCCAGCGCTTTGGCAATTGCCTTTTCTTTGTCGACATAATCCTGCAATATTAACAGGAATCAATTCTGTTAAATCTTTTGTAAAGCAAGTATGAACAATTCCACTAGAAAAAAAAATCTTCATAAGCAGAAATTAATATATTACTAGTTAAAACTGTGAATACTGTTTTAGAGCAATTTATTAGAATACACATTCCTACAAATTTACAAGACATGTTAGTGCTGTGAGGACCTGAGCAACTTGTTTTTCAGTCTGGCCTTTATATGTTCTTTATTAAAAAAGAACCCAGTGATTTTAACAATTAAGGTTTGCCTTACTTTATAAAACAGCCACGTGGTCACCACCATACAGAACTGCTCCTCCATCAAGGAGGTCTATAACTGGAAACAGGTTTAAAAACTTAGTAAGCCATCTTTTGCCTACAAATGAAGTGTGTAATACATGGTCTGAACTCATGTGTGAGAAGCAGCTCAAATTTCCAAGACAATTCCTTAAAATAAAATACAAACATAAAACAGAAACAAAATATAAAACATAAAAACAAAAGAAAACCTAACACCTGCTATTTCATATAAGACTAAAACCTG